AAGAAGTTAAAATTTGCAAAAATATTTCAATTAATAAAAAAAAGTGAAGAGCTTTCTTTTTCTCACCCTTCTCGTACGTTGGTATATGATAATAGAGAATATCGCGATCTAGATCCCACAAATATCGTGCAATATCAGTTACTCGTGCAATTTTCGAAGAATGAGAAACCACATTGGCATCCACATCATCAATCTTCCGCTTCTTCGTTTAACCCCCTGCTACATACTATTTACTTGATCAGATCATCGTCATATAGCTAGCTAGTAACATGTCACTCATGAACATAATAAACATAATGAACAACTCTCACAACTCTACTTTCCATTTTAACATCCAAGGAATCGAGTTGCAATAGGCCTCCAAGGAAAATGATCAATTATTCAACCAAAGGAGAGATGCTCCAAGTCCAAGCAACAAACCTTTTGAATTATATGTTACATATTTACATCAAAGTATACAGGATAACAGAGAACCATAAAACAACTACCAAAATAACGAAGAAGAAATACAACCATTGAATCGAAAAGGGAAATTTACTATCCAGCCGCAGTAATCTAGAAGAAATTAAGAAAAGAATGGGAAGAAGACTATAACTCAGCCAGTCATCCGCTAGCAGTCAGATATCTCCGAGGAAGGAAGATCAATTGCCTGATGCGGATCAAAAGGGAAGAGGGAGAAATGATAGGTTAGACTTTTCTTCGTCAATAGGCAAAAATATGTTAGAGTTGTTCAATTCTTTCCCAACAAATCATTGCATCATGTAACTCCCGCATCCTATTCTCCTACAAAGAGAAAAAAAAACTCAATATGCCTTACCATTTCCTTTCCTATATCTATACACAAAAAAGTAGAGAAGACAAATTCTAGAAACTCAAAATTTAAGCAAATAAGAAGAGAGCTTTATTATTTTTTTTGTGGGGCTTGATCTAGTTTCTTTATTATCAATGTTGTGTTTTATTTTCAATGTTGTATGGGAAAAGGAATAGGAACAAACCAGAATGTTGCATTCATTTTTATTAACTTAATTTACTTTTTATTGATAATGATGACAATTTAAAGAGTAAGCAAAAAAGCACACCAATTAGACCTTGTCCAGCGTTGAAGGGTGAGAGCTAGCCATGTACCGATGTGGCACTAAATTAGTTTTATATTCCAACAATATTAAGTAATGATTATTTATGATTTCTTGATATTTTTTTTTATAAAATGTAATAACTTGTAGAAACATGGTGACATTTTACATACATTTGAATTCTTGATGTAGACATATCTATTAATATCTAAGAATATGTATAACGATTTTATTTTAATTTTTAACTCTGATTAATACCTTTGAACTCAGCTCATCGACTGAAATATGAAAACGAAATTTTGTGGCTAGGATAACTCGATCTAAATACAAATTGCTTACTGTTACAAACCAAAAGATTTCCATTTTGAGACTTCGATATTGAAAAAGTTTTTGTTATTGCCAAAATTTGGTATGGAGTCACAGACTCACAACCATATAGCTGGGGTTGTTTGCTTGATGAATTTGGAGCTATCGTGAAGTTTGTCCAACCATTGCTTGCGTCATGTATTTAGAGACAACAAATATGTGGGTCTCATGTATTTTAAGGTTCCAATTCGTGGGCCCCAAGGACTTGAAAATTTCACCTCTTTAGATGGAAATTGATCATGGACTTTGAAGTCTATTATTTATGACCAACCTACCCCTCATAATTCATTTCCCTTCTCATACCAATGAGGGTAATATATGTCATTTTCACTTCCAACATACAAATTTAATTAACCAAATGCATCATGAAATCTATGAAATTAAATATGGTATTTTCAAATCCATAATGAACAAAAAACCTCATATATCCATGCTTTTACAAAATCCAAGTTTTATTAAAAATTTCAGTTTTCAAATCCACGAAGCAAACACCCCAATGTTTTATTACAATTGCCTTACTAACACACTTATGTTTATTTATTGCCCGAATCCTCGAATTTAGATTTGTCTACCAAGACATCAACTATTAAATAAATTTTTTCAACCCTTATTTGATCAATGCTAAGGTTAGTGGTTGATGAAACGCCATGTTTATCGTATATCCTCAACGAAGATTTTCTTAACCTTCACACCTGTTTTTTTTAAGTGATGTTGTGTCTCATCCTAGGTATGAAGTCAAAACTCGTCAAAAATCATACTTAAGTCATTTTGAAAAATTTGATGTAATAATGTTCGACAATAACTCCAAATCTGAAAAGAAATTACTTAGCATTCGACTTATGACCTCAATAGAGATTGTTCAATTAATATGGTTTAGAGTGAATATTTTAATATAAACCCTAGGACAAATTATAAATTATTGCACACCTGATTACTCTTAATTTGAGAAACTGAAGGTAGAAATGAATATATATTTTCACTTAATCATGATGAATAAGAAGTTTTTTAAAGAAAGAACTATTATTGCTTAGTCAAGTTTATATTCATAGCTTTTGCTATATAAGACTTTTTTATTTGATAGAAATATATATTAGAAATAATTCGACGAAAAAAATACATTAGAAATAAGAGAGTTGTTAATAAAAAAAATCTAAATTCATATATATCATTTTCAAAGTCGATTGATAAAAATATTAATATATATGTGTGTACTTTTTTAATCATTTGTTTTCAATGTTTCTATTGTAATATTTTGTTTATTTGATACAAATATTATTAAATATGTGTAATTTTTTAATCATTTATTTTCAATATTTTTATTTAATATTTTGTTTAATTAATACAAATATTATTATATATGTGTACTTTTTAAGTTTTTGTCAAAATGTAACTTATTATTAAGTTTTGGTGAAAATGAGTAAGAAAATTTACTTGATAAGATTTAATCATATACTTTTTATTTAAACAAATTCAATATATTTTTTAATTGACAAAAATATTATACTTTTGTGTGTTTGTTTACATTTTCATAAAAAGGTCATTTATTATTAAATTTTAGTAAAAATGAGTAGAAATATTAAAAGAAGAGAGAGATAGCTCCATAAATAGATCAATAATAAATTTTTTGTTTGCAAAAAAAGTTGTCAGCCTTGGCAACTTGTGAATTCTCCAAGTGCTTATGTGGCAAGAAGTTACTTTTGAATTGCCATAATATATAGTATAGATATAGATGCGTACTTCTAAATTTAGTTCACCTAATATTTATATTTATATATCTAATCCAAACTTATTCTAATTTTAACATATATTTCATTCGTAATTCTATTCTATTATAATTTCAGTTCACCTAATATTTATATTTATATATCTAATCCAAACTTATTCTAATTTTAACATATATTTCATTCGTAATTCTATTCTATTCTAATTTCAGTTCAGTTCGACCAATAAAAAAACCATAGAAATAGTTTGAAAACTTACCTCGTTTGCCCAAACTGAGTCAATACGATGGTGACCATGCCCCAAAGAAGTACCGGATCCACCGAAGCTGTATCAATTGTCGCAAGTGGTGGTCTCATGGAATAACTGTCCATAAGCCTAGGAACTGGATAAAAAATTAATCAGAACATTAAAAACTCAAATTAAAAAAAACCTCGGCCACCTTCGACGAAATACTCACCTCGGTAGCGGTCGTCGCCGCCACGACCTCGCCGCCCGCTATCCCTTCCTCTGCCGGCGGCGGCGATTTGCTCCTCATCGTCGGACATCTTCACCAAAAACCAGACCTGGACATGGCGCCTTCGTCGGGAAGCAGGCGAGGCCGCCTCAGTTTGAGGCGGGGCTGTCTGTTTCGTTGGCGCTACCATCTCGGACTGGGCGTGGGGTTGGGGACGAAGCTCGTTGCTGCTGCTGGGTGTGTTCTTTTTTTCTCTCGGGTGAGAGGTGAGTGGTGGAGAAGAAGATAAGAAAAGTGGGATGCGGGGCCGCCTAAGTCTCTAGCGCTAGCGTCTTTAACTCGTTGAAAAAATTTCAAAATGCGCCAGCGCCTGAGTCTCGGGCGGGCGGCTATTACCCTAAAAAAACACACAATATACATGTCAATAGTTTTTAAACCGCCATACTGGTGGTAATTTTTTTTTAAAAAGACAATATTATGTCATTAACCCTGAATTTCACCCTTGAATTTTTTTAGTTCGAATAGTCAGACTCATCAACTTTATTATTCCGTGGAATTAGTACGTAAAATTTTGTTTTCCATCATTTTAGTACATAGATTTCCAATTTAACGATCATGCACTCATGCTAACTAAGATTTACTGACATAGCAATAATTGGAGTTAATTTTATCGCGTAATCTGCCACATCATATTTTTAGATTTACCTCTGATTCATACATTAATACTTGGACTAAGTCTGGATAAAATTACATCCTAATCCAAATTGGAAAAAATAAGTGAAAATAAATTTTGATCTCATAGATCGTCTGTAATTATACTTGTTCAACTATCTACATAAGAAAACACATAAACTCAACGTCAATTGTAGATTCAAAAACCGTCAATACCATAATGCTAAAATATCCATTACAAATTAACGGTTTCTTCATAACGAGATCATTTAAAAATTGTTGTTGTAGAGAAGATATTTAGGATTTGCTGTTATTTAAGTTTAACAAATGGCTAAACTAACTTTAGCTATTGATATACGCTAATCCAACAAACCTTAAAATTCCAGTACGTTGTTGACTAGAAATAAAATTCCAGGTACCAACTTCACCAAACTAGAAAAGTTCACGGTCAAACACAGTTATTAAATCGCGGTAAAATTCCCCCTCCGTTTCGTGTTGCGAACTCCAAACCAAATTTCCTTTCTCCGTCTGCTTCTTCTACAGCTGCCTGCCGGCCGCTCCCCCAACCCGCGCCGGCGACGAACCTTCCCTATAATTCTCGTCTCCCTCCTCCTTCCATGGAATCCGCCTCCTCCATCCGCCTTCCCTAGCTTTCCCCATCTTCCTCTTGATTGCTTGAACCTGAAGCTTTCTCTCTCCCCCAATTCACAACCATGACCTCAACTCTTCCGTCTTCTCCGCCGTTCCTCTCCTCCTCTTCCTCCGCGGCAGCTCTCGTCGCACCCTCCTCTCCTTCCCTCCTCTCCCTGCCTCATCCCGCCGACGGCGGCGATGACGGCGCCGCCACGCAGTTGCTCTCCGTCTCCTGGAACCAGGACTACGGCTGCTTCGCCGCCGCAACCAGCTCCGGCTTCCGGATTTACAACTGCGAGCCTTTCAAGGAGACGTTCCGCCGGGACATCAGGGGCGGCGGGTTCAGGATCGTCGAGATGCTGTTCCGCAGCAACATCCTGGCCCTCGTCGGCAGCGAGGCCAACTCCCAGTACCCGCCCAACAGGGTCCTCATTTGGGACGATCACCAGAGCCGCTGCATTGGCGAGTTCTCCTTCAGGTCGCAGGTCCGCGCCGTGAGGCTGAGCCGGGATCGGATTGTAGTGGTGCTCGAGCACAAGGTCTATGTCTACAATTTCACGGATCTGAAGCTGCTTCATCAGATTGAGACGTTGGCGAACCCTAGAGGGCTCTGCTGCCTATCTCATCACCCAAACACTTCCGTGCTGGCTTTGCCTGGGCTGTACCGCGGCCAGGTTCGAATTGAGCATTTTGGATTGAATCTGGTGAAGTTGGTGAATGCTCATGATAATCATATTGCTTGCCTCACAATTACCATGGATGGCTTGCTTCTTGCTACTGCTAGCACCAAGGGCACCTTGATCAGAATTTTCAACACCATGGATGGCACTCGGCTGCAAGAGGTAAGCTAGCTCTCTGGACTCGGAATTCGTAAATATTGAACTGTAGTACTCTTTCATAACTCTGTGTTCAAAGTGCTCTTAAGGCACCAAGTGGGTTGAGCTGCTTTCAAAAGGGTTGACTGATGGTCTTAAACTGATAATGAATGCCTTTCTTATGACGTTTTACTTGCTGCCATCAATTTTGAGCATTGAGGGTAACTAGCATCCAATGATTTCCTCTTTAAAACATCGTCATTGATGATCTTGGTCTTCACCGAAGTATCATTCCAATATTTATGATCTTGCTCTTCTGCAGGTGCGAAGAGGAGTGGACCGAGCTGAAATTTATGGCATTACACTGTCTCAGGATGTGCAGTGGTTGGCTGTGTCAAGTGGCAAAGGCACTGTTCATATTTTCAGTCTCAGGGTTAGAGTGGGTGGAGAAGACTCCTCCACTAACTCAAATCCTCCCCAAAGCCCAGCATTATTGCATCAGAATTCATCAACAGCTGTTACAGCTCTGATTTCTCCCAGCACCAGTTCCAACCCGAGTTCATCATTGTCTTTTATGAGAGGTAGGGAATTAATGAATCTTTGAATTTTAGAAATGGACCTTCAAATAATTTGTTGAGCTTAGTGATTCTAATGCATGCAACTACCAGTTGTACCAATAAACTGTGTATCCGAGCTCAACCCGGTATGATTTTCTCAGGGTATTATTTTGGTTTATGACAGCATTCATGTGGTTCATTTATGGTTTTACTATTAAGTCTTGCACTGTCACTCTCATTGGTTCTATCTCTGGTACAGTTTCATAAACACTGGTTAAACTAGGATCTGGACTTATCGCTACAAAATTTTGATGTTGACAAGCTAGAATTATTTCCTCGGTATTAAATTGCGCTCATCATTTAGGTTACTTTGAGGTCTGTAGTTCTTGAAACTAGTATAAAATATAAAAGCTCATCAAGGGTTTCCTTTTGAAAGTTTGATCCAGAGCAGATATATAATATCAGTGCCTGTATACTTCTCTATTTGTCTGTTTCTGTTTTTACGAAGTTCAACATTGAGATACGGTTAATGCACGATGAGCCATAATAATTTTTCTCTAATATCTGCTGATGTTACCATGTTTCCACCAGGGGTGTTGCCCAAATATTTCAGCTCTGAGTGGTCATTTGCCCAGTTCCGTTTACCAGAGGAGACACAATTCATTGCTGCATTTGGATCTCAGAATACAGTCATTGTTGCTGGCATGGATGCAAGGTATGACACCGGTTACCATTTACTTCTCTTTTATAGGGTGCAGCACTTGAGAAGTTGGACTATTGGCATATTGGCAGTTGAAGTAAAACTGCTATTACACAGATCCTGAATATAAGTTAGTGAACTTTGGCCTTACGGCACATGTTGTGAACACCAAACCCAACTTCTCTCGGTCATGCTATCCTCGAGTGTTAAAGAACCATTGACTTCAAATTGCCTGCTATTACCGTTATGCAGCTCATTGAAAGTTGCCATATACTCAAATCAATACTTTAGGCTGTTTCTCTAGGACCATGGTGATTCTAACTAAACTGACAGCAGCAGCACAGCTAATTCCATTAAGTTTACTTATCATCTCCGCTCACTCACAAAATTTTATTCTTTTTTCCACAGCTTCTACAGATGTCAATTTGATCCAGTTCATGGAGGAGAGATGTTGCAGCAGGAATACGTCCGCTTCCTGAAAACTGAGAGCCGCCCTAAATAGCGCGAGCAGTCTGTTTCCCATTTCTGTAAATACGAGTTTCCAAATGTGCAGCACTGTATATAACCTTCCGATTCGATCGCATTCTTTGACTATGTTCGGTTCTAGTAAAACTGCCAGTCTAGTGAAATTGGCCAGAATACAGAATCAGTGGCTGGAAAGTCATCAAATTGTCATGCTTGTTGACTAAGTAAGACTCCTTTCAGTACACAAGCAAAGAAAAGAAGAAAAAACATTCTGTTGACAACTCTTTGATCTATGCAACTTCTGTTCTGTGTACAAAATTGCAGACTTCACAGTTTCTGCTGACTTACATCACATGTTCCTATCTCATTAGTCATTAGTCTATCTGTAACTATGCCTGCCTGATTACTATAACCAAAGTCTAACAACAAAAGAGGCACTAGCTAACCCTTAGAAGGTGGGAGTCGCAACTCTTTTGATCTGTGCAGACTTTTGTGTACAAAGTTGCAGACTGCACATTTTCTGCTGACTTACATTCACATGGTTCCTATCTCATTACTCTTATCTGCAACTATGCCTTGCCTGATTGCTACAACCAAATTCTAATGGCAAAAGAGGCTCTAGTCTAGTTACCACCTTGATTTGGTGGGAGCTGCAAGGTCAAGAGATTCTCAGTGTAGGTACAGAAATCCAAGCTGCGCAAATTCGCAGGAATGCGCACCTTCCTAAACGTCCCGTTCTCAGGGTTGATGAAGATGATCACTTTGTATGGCGAGCTGTAGATGATCAGATCACTCCTGTATTCTTTGATCTCTCCCAGGATGGTTCCGTCGTCGAAAAGAGGCAGCGAGACGACGGCTTGTCTGACCCAATGGCTGTTCTCCTGATCAGTCAGCAGCCACACCACCAGGCGGAGCGGGAGGTCTTCCGGAGTCTCAATCATGCTCAGCTTCTCAACGCTCCCGGCGAGCTTGGACTCCATGATTCTCAGAGGAATCTCACCGGCCTCCCTCCAATCACCGACGCTCGGATTCGGCCTCCTCAAGCCTTGAGGCCAGCGTACAACTCCAAACCTCTCTTTCTTGACGTCCAAGTAAGCCAAGAAAACGTCCGGCCTAGCCTGAGCTGTGCTGTGGCAGAGGCAATGCCGGTTCTGCACAATCTTCCAGTAGATGGATTCGGTCCCACGGGCGAAAACCGGCAAGCTGACCTCGTTCACGAAGTAAGGGCAGGTGTCAGCCAGCAGTTTCCCGTCGTTGGCCGCCGCCGCCGGCGGTTGGGCGGAAACAGAGTAGGTGAAAACAGAGCACTCCAACTTGCAGGGCGAGTGGTCTCCTAGCCAAGGCTTGTGCACCACTCTCGCCACTTTGTACTCCCCGGCCGATTCCATGTACCCGAACCCGGAAATGGTTAACGGATTTCCTTGACGGTCGACGCCGTGGGGCGGCGGGAGCTGGATGAGGGAACGGGTGGCCGTATTGCAGAGGTAGACGCAGGTTTCGGTGGCGAAACAGAGCAACCCGCGGGAACTCAGGAGGACGAGCTTGATCGGCCCGCCGACGGCGTTTACGCGGAGGACGTCGAGGGGAACGCCGGCGGAGTTCAAGATTGCGAAGCGTTGGCGGGCTGTGCCGGAGGATTGGTCGTAATCGAAGTCGGAGCACTGGAAGAAGAAGCGGGGGACGGAAGCCCTGCGGGCGTAGTGCTTCTCTTGGAATTTGGGGTGGGAAATTAAGCGGTGCCATGCCTTGGAGACGCACTTGAAGCGGAGGAGGGATTTGGCGGGGAGGTCTAAGAGAATGCTGATGATGCATATGCGAGAGGAGGGAGTTGAGAAGCTGAGCTGCTCCATAGCTTTGCAGAGTGAGGTTGATTTCTCGGGGTAAAGAAGAAGAAAGAATCGATCTTTGGGGTTTCTTGTTAATGGGTTTTTTTTGTTTCCTTTGGGGGCGAAAGGAGAACGGAGATGAATCAAAAATGGCGGGTGTTGCTTGCTGGGGACTGTTTGGGTGGGCGGGGTTGGGAGGGTCTTGGGGTCGTTTAAGGTATATAAATAATTAAAAAAAATTATAAAAAGGTATTTATATTTATTGAGAACAAGCCTAATTAGTAACTAGCTTTTTACCCGGCCCGATGGCCGGAGAAATTTATTTTATAATTTATATGTTTAAATCATTTTGGATCTTCTAAATATTTTGTAACAGAGTTTGTAGTATGTCTATATTGAAATTTCCAATATTTAGCACACTCACTTGTGATGCTTCAGTTTTCGAATCATAAATTATGCCGCTGTCACGTCCCATTTAGAACTTATGTCAAAATTTGCCAACCAAAACACTAATATTTAGCGCACGCCAACCTAAACCACACACACACACATTATATATATATATATATATATATATATATAGTTCAAGCTAGCGTGCGTCAGGAGTACGTTATACTCTTCCGTTCATACTACCATACGACCATTGAGTTTTAATATTTAGACCCGAATTAACCGGATTTTTTTGGGGCATTATACTATACCCTAACCTCTAATAGGTGGACTAACTCTAGTCCCTAATTCTGTAACCTCTAATTTATGCACATACTTCGTAATACATATCTTCTATCGTATCTTGAGTTAAATAAAAAGTATAGTATACCTTGATATTACATATATATATATACATGCATGTATGTATGTATATTAGACTCAAAATTATCTAGAGATCTAGCTTTTACCCCCATAACGCCAGAGAACCATTGGGGTTGTCTATTTTTCGATATATAATATATAAAGAGGCAAATACTAAGATCCTACTACTTATTTCTTATCCTCTCCCGCCGACCCCTTTATGGACAATAAAAAAGTAGGGATGACAGGATCATAGCTCGATATGGTTTTATTATGTTCATCTTATCAGAGGTTATGTTCTTTTTTGTTTTTTGTTTTTTGTTTTTTTGTTTTGCTTCTTTTCATTCTACTTTAGCACCTATGGTTGTGATCAGAGGTATTTATCCCTCGAAAGGGATTGGGATTTTAGGTCCTTTGGAAATCCAATACACATTCATGATCCTCGAGTTTGGACGAACTCTCGACCAATGTTGTAAATATTATGACTTTTTAGTGAGAAATTCTTAGTAAAGATACTTCATTATTGGATTTATTCATCCATATTGAAACTTGACACACACTGTAGCCCTCATGATGCCTAAATTCTCTAATCTCGACTCATTTCCATTTTGGATGTTTGTTTTTTTATCCAGACACTTAAATTTAGTATATTATATAATATGTATCAATTGTTAATTTTTGAAGTTTATACTAAACCTCAACCGGTGGTCATTGTTTATATGTTGACTTAGAATCTCAATCTAAGGCACTCACGCACACTATCGAGGATTTTTGGTCTTAACATGGTCGTTGAATGTGTAATTTTCAAAGATTTTATCGCTTATATATTAATAATTGATAAAGAGTGTCTCCAACACACACATATTTTAAGTGCATTTAAAATGTCTTATCATTTGAACAATATCAGTGTATTTCGTTTGATTATTTGCATTAACTTATTATCTTATACAACATATATTAATTCGTTTTTCTCGAGTCTAGACGAACTCAAAACCAATTTTGAGAGTTGAGATTATTGGATAAAGATACTTGATTGCTTAATAAATATGTTTATCCCAATTGACGATCTTACTAAAAATTGTCAACCTTTATTTGGTAAATGCCTATGTTAGTAGTCGATGAAACGTGATGTTTATCGTAGATTCTGAACAAAGATTTTTCTAACCTTCACATCTATTATTTTTCAAGGAATCTTGTGTCTCATCCTAGGGTATGAAGTCAAAGTTCGTCAACAATCATACTTAAGTCATTTTGAAAATTTCGATTTATAATTGTCGAAGATAACTCCAAGTCTGAAAGAAAATTTCTTAGCATACGACTTAGAACCTCAATAGAGATTGCTCAATCAACATGATATAGAGCAAATATTATTAATGTGAACTTAGGTCACATTATCAAATTATTGCACATGCGATTCCTCTTCATTTGAGGAATTTAAGGTAGAACATGATCTGAATGAATAAGTTTTTTTTTAAATAAATAACTGTAACTACTCGATCAAGATTATACTCTGCATTTTGCTAAATAATACTGTTTTATTTTATAGATATATATTGTACGAATAAGAGAGTGTTTCATTGCAACAAAATATAAAGTAATATAGTTTATTTTTCAAAGGTAATTGAATGTCAAATGTTTATTTTCTCTCTTTTCATATATATTTTGGTTTAATCGATTAAAACATAATTGTCTATGTGTATGTTTGTTTATTTTTTCATCAAAATGTAACTTATCATTGAATTTTAGTACAAATGAGTAGAAAATTTATTTCATAACGTTTAATCAGATATTTTTATTTAAATAAATGTGATATATGTCACTCTCTTTTTTCTTATTTATATTTTGTTTATTTAAAAGAAATTATTATTTATGTGTGTTTGATTAAGTTTATCAACATGTAACTTATTATTAAAGACAAAAAAGAACAAATGGATAAATGAAAAAGAATAATTGGATAAAAGAAATGGAAATATTAAAGAAGAGAGAGGTAGCTCCATAAATACATTAATAACTAATTTTTTGTTTGTAAAAAAGTTATCCAACTTGGCAAATTGTGGATCCTCCAAGTGCTTATGTGGCAAGAAATTTTTTTTGAATTTCCATAATATATAGTATAGAAGATAGATAGATATAGATAGATTGTCATTGTTGCTAAAGACTATTTTCTTCATAAAAAAAAAAAGCTTAAATGCAACCTTAATTTTCATGATTTTCTTGATCTAAATTCACTTTAAGTGGTGGAGATTTAGTTATGGGTTTTTGTTAGGGGTATGCAACTGATCCAGCCCAATCATGCTACCGATAACAAGACAATAACTGTAAAGTGATCGGTTCGAATATTAGAACTTTTGAACAATTGTCATTTTTTCCTCTTTCAAATGCACGAATAGCATCGTATATGGTATTTATGTGCGACTTTCCCTCAAAAATGCTATGGTCATTGTATCAAAATAATCAAAAAGAAGTAAAAGGAAGGCTAAAAACAAGTACAAGGTGAAATAACTTCCTTTCATGTTAACGTGAAGAATGTTCAAGAAGTCGCTAGGTGTAAAGCAGCCATTAAAGTCTTTTCTAACGCATAGCGGGTTTAGACGTTGTTTAAGCGTGTCTAGACGTTTGAAAACAAAAATAGTAAGTTATACCAAATGATGAATAAATTAGCAGACTTGCGACACATTTGCAGTTCAATTCTAATGATTAATAGCTTAGTTAACACCTAAGAATAAGAAACATATATGTCACAAATTCATGGAATGATATTTGAATAGCTCACACAGTTCTTATGATGATGTCAAGTACCACATTTGATATTGACGGTCTAGGTTCACTTAAATATGCATAGGCGACACTTAGGTATTACCTTAATCCATTTAGGCTTTCTGAATTCCTGAAAATTGCGAAACCCATATGCAAGACATTTTGATATTGTCTAGCGCCTAAGCATGTTTAAACATAAAGTTAAACGAAACTTTTTGAACCATGAACGTGACTCAAACACGACTGTCACATTTGGCATCCTTGTCACAGCCCCGCAATCTGAAGAGCGGGTTAAGAACTTTGTAAGAACATTGACTGTCCTTAGAGACTTATGTTGCACAACTGAGCTGCAGTAGAACCCAGACCAGCTAGCATACCACAGTTCACAGATCATATCGGACAGGTCGTCGAGGATCAACTGGTTCAACCATTCGGTCCGTTGCAGACCGTCAACCCTCCAACAGGGGGAGAACACGACCAGTCTGAGGTCAATATTATCAGCAAACATGACCAAAATCCATATCAACTTGATAACAACAAGGAGCATTTTTCATGCAACTGATGGGAACAAAGCAGCTCCAAGTTCATACATTGTTGCCAAAGATAGAACCAACAGTCAGAAGTTCCCAGGCCGGTAGTTCCTTCTTATCCATCTGTTTTTTTCTTTCTTTCTTTCCTTCCTTCCAAACTAGTCTGTGTCCGTTCGGCTCTACGCTGTTCAGAAAGGTTTATTCATTCACTTCGATTTTTTATTCAACTCGCATCATTACATCTGATAACTTCTCTTCCAAGTAACTTTGAGCATGAAGTTGGCGGTTGGTTGCCCTTTCGATGATTATATTCTGCTGACAAGATTCTGGATGCGCTCGGAACATGGTTGATGTTGTTTCAAAGCTTTGATCTTGAATGGCTTGCATCGTCAATGGTAATCATCACCTTCCCAATGGCTTTTCTCTCTTTGATTGCAGCAAAAGCAAGGCTGGCCTGTTGAAAGAAATGCAAAATCAAGATGAATACATCCAATTTTAAGGCAACAGTGAAGCAGCCATCGCAAAATTAACAAGCACAATGCATGATGATGATATTGGAACAGCATGAATCAGATCCTAACCCCACCACCTTTATGCTCATGTCATCAAATGATTTAGCTCAATTTATAAGACACCACAGTAGGCATAAATCTATGTCAAGGGAACGTATAGTGATAATCTAATGCATACATAAATTGCTTTACAATACAATATCCTGAAAGAATCCATCAACTCTGGTGAGTCATCTAAGATCGAAACAAGCTTCAATTTTCTATCACCTTTTGTGAAACCTAGCTCTCCAACTCATGGATAATCGATTGCAGCAAACCTAACCTTCCCAGTTCTACTTTATGCAAGGTCTAGTAAATTCTACATTTTCCCATAGCTGAAGCACAAGTATTGTCCATCAAAACTGGAGATAAGTAAAGCAAATGAAAACGTCTGAGGGAATTCAAACCTCTGAGAGGCTGTAAGTATGAGAAATGTGGATAGTGATGAGTCCCCTTGCCATCCAGCTAAGTAGTTCCTTGAGAGAATCTTCAAGAACAGGTGGTCTATGTATTTTGTAGCTTCCCCAGTAGAGTCCATGAACAGTCCAGTTCTGTAGAGTACACACATTCAGCATTCACTTGGTAAGACAGATAGATGAGAACAGTTAATTAGGTTTTCTGCCTGACCATCTTTTCTGTTTCTTAATGAGCTTTTATTGTACACTGAATATCTTAGTTCAGTTATTTTCAGAACGAGGAATCATTTTTTGAACGATAAAATTAAGCATGTACCTTGACAAGAGCAATGTTGGCAGGAATGAGGGGTATTTCACCACTGGCGAAACCGATAACCAGAATCTGTGCACCCCAATTCAAAAGCTTCAAGCTCTCTTTCGTAAGCTTCCCACCAACTGGATCATATAGAACATCCACCCCTTTTAGCTTCCTCGACTTAAGGAAGTTCTTGACACTCACAGTAACACCTTCTTTGGTCGAGTCCACGACATGATCAACTCCCATCGACCTCAGAAGCTGAATCTTCTCCTCTCCCCTGTGACAGTTTGCAACACCAGAAGGAAGATTCCCCCCTTAAGCTCCAATGCATCATTGCCAGCCAGTACAAGGTGAAGGCTGAAATATTGGTTTTGTGAAGAAAGTACCTAGCAACAGCAATAACAATAGCTCCACGAATTTTGCCAATTTGGACAGCAGAAAGGCCAACACCTCCAGCTGCTCCAAGAACCAGAAGAACCTAAACACAACAGCAGAATCCCCAATTTCTTCTATCAAAGAACAGAACTCCCAATTCCAGACAAACAATCCACACGCGGAAGAAGGCAAAGGGAGTGGAAGAACTAACCTGGCCTGGACCCAGCTGAGCTCTGTGAACTAGAGCAATATGAGAGGTTCCAAAAGCTACTGGTAGAGCGGCAGCAGCCACCAGATCGCATTCTTTCGGCACCAGATACCTTCTCAAAGTTTTATTTTGTTTTTCAGCCGATTAATTTGTAAAGTAACAAGAATTCTACGGTAGTCAAAATGGGATAGAACAAACAGTGGAAGAGGTGATTTGCTTACAGTTCGGACTGATCGGCGACGATGAACTGGGCGAAGGAGCCGAGGGCGGCAAAGGAGCAAACATGGTCTCCAACTTTGAAAAGGGAGACGCCGGAACCTACGGCATCGACGATGCCGGCGTAATCGGAGCCTGGAATGAAGGGCAGCGGAGGCTTCTCCTGGTATTTCCCTAGAACCTGAAGGTAATTGGCGAAGTTCAAGCTCGTGGCTTTAACCCTGACTCTAACGGCGGTGGGAGAGTCAAGCGGCGGAACCGGGTGGTTCTTTCTCAGGACGATCGGTGAATCTTCGCCGATCGCTGTCGCCGGGTCCCCAAGCTTCTCGCACACCAAAGCCTCCATAGTTCCTTGCCCGTCGGTTATTTTCGCTGTTGTGAGTGAAATTCTCTGTCTCTTGCACTCTCTGTTCTCTCCACAAATTGATTTAAATACTGATGGAGATTGGAGAGTGGAGACGAGTTGTTGGTGGCGCGCCGGCTAACAAAAATGGCTTTTGTCGTTTTTCCGTCTTCTGAAGACACATATCGCATTTCTTTATTCAGTCATCGTTCTTTCCCAGATTTGAAACCAGCCAACCTTATCCGCTCTTTGTCTGATTTTTTCGACTAACAGCCACCATGAGTGGCAATGGGGTAGCAATTGCATCGACCCATCATCCTTCGCAGTGTCATCAAGCTCAGTTTTCAAGTTGCCCCAAAACCCATCTCTTTTTTGGCCACTCCAGCTCCAATTCGTCTCCACCAATCGGTAAAGCTAAGATCTTTAGTAAACGCCATAGCTCTCTCAGACTCTGTATGTCAAGAAGCTCTCGAGATGCTCTGGTTTTTGGGACGAATGGGAACCTTACAGACAATCCGATTACCAAATTCATTCTTCGTCGTGCAGTTTCGGCATCTGCTTCTTCCTCTTCCCTCAGTGGCTCTGCCGGCGCTTTCCCGGAGCAGCTGTCGGATACAGAGGAAAAGAAGATGGTGAAGAAGAAAAAGAAAAAGAAGCAAATAGCTGGCATTGATCAAGATGAACTGGTGGATCCTGAACTTTTAGCAGACCCAGACAGCTGTTTCTGCGAGTTCAGGGGTGTGAAGATTCACCACAAGCTGTACGAATCGCAATCGCCAGAGGCAAATGGCTCTTCGCCTCAAATTGCTTCTTCTGATTCTAACAAGAAGCTGGGGTTTCCTATCATCTTACTGCATGGCTTTGGAGCTTCTTTGTTCTCATGGAGCAGAGCGATGAAGAGGTTGGGAGAAGCCACATCTGCTCCTAAAGTTGTTGCCTTTGATAGACCAGCCTTCGGATTGACCTCCAGAGTGGATCCTTCTTCTTCTTCCCTTAAGGCTGAGGATCCCAAGCCATTGAATCCATACTCCATGGCGTTTGCTGTGCTTGCTACCTTGTACTTCATTGATTTCCTGAAGGCTGACAAAGTAGTTCTAGTGGGGTATGTTCTCCCAATTTCCCCATCACCAATGCTCCTGTTTTCCCATTGCTTGCCAGTGATTACGAGGTGTTAATTCATGATGCTTTGGGTTTCATCGGAACTGCAAATTTCACTGCAATTGATTGTTGGTGGCCCAGAGAGTTCTATGTACCTTAATTGTTTGTGATGATGTTCAAGCAATTGTGTGTGATGTTGGAAATTTTGGGTTGTTCTCATTATGATTAAAACCATGACATACCAGGCATTCTGCTGGTTCTCTTGTAGCAGTCAATACCTACTTTGAGGCTCCCGATCGTGTAGCTGCTCTGATACTTGTTGCCCCTGCAATATTTGCTCCCAATCCAAGTTCAAAAGTTTCTAAAGGAAGTGATTCGGGAAGAGGTAACCTTGGTGAAGGGGCTCAAGAGGAGAAATCAGATTCTAAAGGTGTGCTCGGAAATCCATTCATTGCATTGTTAAAGAAGTTGTCTCGACTTGCTGCGTCTATAGCTCGGGCCACACTGAAACTGTTGAATGGGATGATGAACATGCTTGACTCCCTATACAAGAAAGCATTGTCTGCCATTCTGTGCTCTGCCTTGGGCTTAATGCTGGTAAAAAGAAATTTCAGTCTCTTTGTTACTTGATTCACCTTTCGTTATGGCATATTTTATTGCTTTCAATGTGAAACCTTAATCATCATTCTGCACTTACAAAGTTCCATTTACTTACTATATACATTGGCTTATGTGGAGTTCAGATAAGGATGGCGATTGACAAATTCGGTGTACTTGCTGTGAAGAATGCATGGTATGATGCTCAGCAAGCCAATGAAGAAATTCTTAGTGGTTATACCAAGGTGAGTCGACTGTTTCTCTTATCCCTCCTTAATTTGCTGGCACAGAATTAGAAACTATGGTGCAGCTAAGTAAAAAAGTGATATATGTTTCTGACTTGTTACCTCTGGGAACTCGCATAACCTGAATGAAGCCATTGAGAGTCAAGGGTTGGGACAAAGCTCTTGCAGAATTCACTGCAGCAACTCTTGCAGCTGTTGACTCCGAAGCCAAGGCACCTGTATCAAAAAGGCTTCATGAAATTACTTGTCCTGGTAAGTGTTCATGGTGTGATGATGCAAAAGATCTTTGTTAATTCTGAGTTTTGAGTACTTAAGAAAGATTCTTGCCATTTTCAAACCCAGTTCTCATAGTGACCGGGGATACTGATCGAATCGTTCCTGCATGGAATGCTAAGAGACTTTCACAAGCCATTCCTGGATCTAGCCTTGAAGTAATTAAGTATTGTGGCCATCTGCCACAAGAAGAAAAAATGGAGGAGTTCGTGACTATCGTCCAGAAGTTTCTCCAAAGGGCTTTTGGTGATATGGAGGAGCCATCCCTGCAGCCTTCTCACTAGAATTCATGCTCTCTCTCTTTCAGGCATGATTTTGTTGTCTATAATAACACTATGCTGCCATTGATTTTAGTTTGACAAGGAAAATGTAACTCACACACAACAATGTGAGGGACCAAGAAAAAGAGATGAACCCATCTTGTATACTTCATCACATGATAAAATGAGCATTGAGCGATGCATGATTGTTATCAGAATGTAGGATCCATAGAAATTGTAAGACTAGGATCTTGTAAGCTTGGTGGGATGCTAAATCCCGACATGAAATCATCTCCGAAGATCACAGCAGCAGCAGCAAGAGCTCTTCCAACTCCAGCTCCCATGGCTACACCAGCGGCCAGCGGTCTTGCTACCCCTTTAGTTACTGCTGCAGATGCCGGCACATTTATGTACTCTGAAGAAAGGTGGGTATGTAACTAACATTAGCTTAAGGGGGTGGTGGACGAGGAGTCACCGTCCTACGCACCGAGGCTGGGTAGCTAGGCCCTTCCATAGAGGGGATAGGATGATTTGCAGCAGCGTAAGGTACATGATTAGTATACTCAAAAGTTTGTTGATGCATTTTGATGCTTCCTGAATGGAGCTGAAGGCGGCTGTCTCTTGGGTAGTGCCCTGTATTCTTTCCATGATATATCGGTGGACCTCCTTCATTGTTGCCTGGACGACGTTGAGGTTGCCAGGAACTGGAAGGGCCTAAAGGTGGCAGCTCCCTTGGATAGACCGCATGCTCAGGATTATTGCCATGACCTATGATTCCTCCATCACCACCTGCATTGCAAAACACAACTACATCAGCTATCAGGAACCAAATCTATCTGGAGATGATATAACTACCTGCTAGTCAAATCAATATTTCACCTTTCCCCCATTTTTGTCAGATCAAAATCAATCTGTTGTAGGGCGACAACAAATATGAAGTATTCAAAAGTTTGAAATTCCTTCTCTAAGTTGCAACAGCCCCAACAATGTTTCGGTCTTATCTACGAGCGAAATTCCTTTTGCTATATTTCTACCATCTCTAAAGCATTTAACATCGACAACTCTTGAACATTCAGCGTTCATTCATTAACATCCCAGATAGTCGAACTATAAAGTCTACATACATGAAATAAAAAACCTACGTAAAATTTGAGTTGTAAGCTGGAATCCAAGAATCTAAAGATTTTACCAATCGCATAAAAGTCATAGGTATTCTAAGACACCCTGCAAATTTTGCCAAATAGTACCATAACAAGATCGTGATATCCATATGCAATATCGAGCGTAACCTGTCCAAATATGCAATCACGAAATAGGGGTAGAAGCATATACAGCATAAATTCTACCAAGTTCATTGATGTACTAGCAAGCTTAGGAGTTGACTTCGGATTTTTACTACATTGCATGCAACAAGACAATTCCACGAGTACCTGTAGCCAGGTGTGAACTAGGTTCTTCTCTTTCCTCGGTGATCCCGATCGAAACATCAACAAAATCTGGGGTTTGTTAGAGTTTCGTTTGCAAAGCTGGTAGCTCCCGACTTCTTCAGATCCAGATGAGGAGGAGATCTTGTTGTTGCTGTACTTTGCCAGAGACTCTTTAAGGAGGATGGTCGCGGTCCCTTCAAAGGCTTTCCCTGAGGAAAATGGGCTCTTGACTATAGACTTCAACAGTTAGCGCCATGTCCTGGAAATCGTATCATCCATCAAAGCAGCAAACTTGGTCTTCCATGTGGGGTTTGCATTTCCAGAGCCATCTTTTGCAATGTTGGTGCAGCACTTGTTATCGAGATCAATCCAAACAGCAGGAAACAACTGCCACTTCCAGACGGAATAAGAACGCCTAACGCCTCGAGCAGAGATGAGACTTGCTTCTACCCATATCTTACCACCCATTGCAGGAATCAGAGAGGAAGAATGCACATAGAGATGCTCATCAAAAGAACTGAACTTTTTGCCTTTACTTTTCTACCTGAGATCGATTGGTTCTACTTTTCACAAAGTGGGTTCAAGCAGAAAGGAAAAGAGTATAACAATGCATTATCTGCAACCCTGTAGTCTGCATAACTACTTTACTTGGTGAAAGAGCAAATAGAAATTTTTATGCCAAAACTACTAATCAAAGGACAAAATGCCAAACCCGTTTTTGGCTGTCGAAAGTGCACCACAAACAAGCAAAGAGAGAAGAGAATACAGAAAATGTCAATGACACGAAACTCTGTGTTCGGACACTGTAAAGATTAAACTAGTTTATCGATGGATAAGGTAGTAAAGCTTAAGCTTAAAGTCGAGATTGCGACAGAATCCCACATGGCGAAAACGAGTAAATATATTGATCTAAGAGACTAGACCAGAGTACAACAGTCGATTTCTAACCTGGGACTGGGATCTATGCTGTAGTCTATATTCTATCCAAATGGCTGTGGAGTTGAACTATACAAGCTCAGTCCTCTGCACATTCTCCAACAGTTACCTTAAGAGAAGGTAACTCTCTGGGAGGTGGGATTAGCAAGAGTTTTCTACCTACACGTTTCGCCATGTGATCCTGATAATCTCCACCAGCATTTTCACCGGTTGGAGCAGTCCTTGTGTACATCATTGTGGTAGAGCCCAAAATGTCATCCCCAAACCCACAAGCATTGAAGAACGATCTGGAAAACCCAAACCAGAACCACACTCAAACCTTTAATTCAATCAATCTAACAACAGCAGAGAATCAATGGGAAGATGGCTCCGCTTAAAGTACCTCTCATTGGCAGAGCAAAGGGCTGCAATGTCATAAATGTCTCTGCTAATCAGTATTCTGAATCAACATAAAGGAGAAACCCACGACAATTATCAAAATCGTTTTGGCACTCGGCAAAGGTACTGCTGGCCAAGTTCCAAGACTCTGCATAAAGGAACTACCTTGTGATTTTCTGAAGGATCATCTTCCCAATTCCCATTCCTCGCAACTGAGGGACAACCTGGGGAATGGAAGCCACTGAGAAACCGCAAATTATATGAACATCATCCACCCCACAACAAGCCAAACTCAAAAATTTCAAACACAATGGTACGAAAATTTTCAACTGGAATCTTTCTTGTAGTTAAACTTTACCACCACATCATGGATGGATGCAGTCAATCCCGAATCTGAAACAGCTCGACCAAAACCTACGAGCTGCCCATTAGAGGGCGAGATCATCAGAGCCGGAGGGATCAACCTCTGCAATACATCTCCCAAACCCATCAGACCATCACCTCCTTTTACTTCCTCTTCTTGATCCCGAATCCCAATATCCCGCGGTTTGCAGAAGACGGATACGAGCACAGAGCTATGAGAGAGAGCAATTCCGAGCTTCTCCACGTCGACATCTTCGACGGCCGCCGTTGCCGCGGCCTCTCCATATTCTGAACGTTGAATTAACTTGGGGAAACGGTGGCAGGAGTGGTTACAAAGGGCGAAGAGGCGGCGGAGCTGTTGGGGCTGGACGTGAGATGGGTTTGCAGAGATGTAGAGAGGAACGCTTGTTTCCACGGGAGATATAGAATTGAGCGCGGTCCTTGTCGGGTTCTGAGAGTTGCTTCTGGGTTTTCTCGCCCACCTGATTTCCATGGCGATACTCTTGCAATAGCAGGCGGAGCTGCTCTTCATCGCCGCCAGCGTTGCCAAACTGACAGCACTGATAGCTGCAACGTCCATCGCCGTCGGCAGTTGGTTGGTAGACTAGATAGCGAAAATGTGGATTAAGTTTGATATTAATATTTGCTGATTTTGCTCCTTGACTTTTTAAAAAATGATTTTAAATACCGTTCACACTTTTTTTAACAATATTTTTTAGGTTAAAAAATTAGAGTTGTTTGGAGGTTGGGATTTCAATTTTCAAGTGATGTATTTAGCCAATGCGTGTAATGTCAAGATTAAATTTTTTTTGGTTAAATTTGTAACCGAATGCATGTATTACCTTTTTCTGGGCCCATCCACAATCACTCAAAATGAGTGATTATTTTCTACCAAAATATGAGATTGTGACAAAGGGATTGTCTACCCTCTACTTTTTCATTTATATCAAAGCACAATGTAAACCTCCAAACAAGGTATTTTCCAAATTCATACATTTAATCAATACATCAAATTACAATACACAAATTGATTAAATACTTCAATTTGGAGAATCTCAACCTCCAAACAACCTCTAAGTTAAACTATTCTACTCATATTAACTTTCCAAAGCTCCAAAAACTAAAAACTATTGTTTGTTTTTTTTTTTTTTTTTTTTTGCAAAATATATTTGTATAGCCAAAACTTTCGCGTTTTTGCTAATAATAGCCAATTTTGGAGAAATATCACTTATAGCCACTTTCGTCCAATTCTTTAATGGTGTTAGCTAACAAGCTGACTAGACTAACGACTTTGTTGATTTGGCGACATTTCATAACAACACTGCCACGTAGATTAATAAAAAATAAATAAATAATAAATTTAATGAAAACAAAATAATTAAAAATCAATTAATAAAAAACTCCACTTGCACCAAAAACAAAAAAAACACTCAATCTCTCCACCTACTCTATGCTCCATCATCGTCCCCATTCTCCATTGCTCAAAGAACCCCATACCCTTCTTCCTTTCAAAGCCAAAAACCCAATAAATCTCTCCACCTACCCTCTGCTCCATCATCGACCCCATTCTCCACTGCTCCAAGAACCCCAACCCTTCTCCCTTTCAAAGCCAAGAACCTCAAATCTCTGCACCTACCCTCCTTTGTTGAGATTATCTAAACCCCTAAAAAATCCCCACCCAATACTCTCCCGCCACCGCTCTATACGTCGACGAAATACCAATTGCCGACCCTCTGCAAATCATCGTCCTCAATCAACATGTCATCAATAACAGTTAAGAAGCGGAGATGGAGAAGCAGGCGCTGTCGGATCCAAATCGTCGTGGCCCAATCCTCTTCTTCAACCCCTACTTCAAATCCATGTTCAATGGTCGTCGCCTACTCCCACCCCTTCCGCCGCGTCGTCCAAATCTGCTTTCCAAGATGAAGAACTCGTCCAAGGGTTTCGATCTGGCGAGATTGCAGTGTAGACGCCATAGTCGACAAGAACTTCGTTCTACAATTTCATATTTTGGCTATGACGGTGGTGAGAAACAGGGGCGTTTCGGAATAGAGAGAGATCGAAGACTGGACTTCCTCGCTGGGATTCTCCAGCTGGGATCCTTGACTGAAACAGGGGCGAAATTGGATCTACCGGCAGCCCGGTTCAGGGACGATAGATTCAGGGGCAGAAGCGATGGATGATTTGGGTATGGGGGTTTAAGAATCTAGGTGGGGTCTTCATTATTGAGAGCTCGTAGAGAGGGTTTTGGGAGGATGAAGAGCTGCCGGGGGGAGGGGGATTTTTAGGGTGGCGGCGGTCGGATTTTCAGGAAGGTAGGAAGGTTTGTGACAATGTGAAGAAGAAGATGAAGGGGACAGATCCCCTTTTTTTTTGGAAGGAGAAGGATACGATAGAAGGGATCTTTAAAATTAAATGGAATGACATAATTTTTTTTAATTTGAATTGTGACATGGCTGTCATGTGGCATGGTAAGATCTATGTGGACATGATGTGTCGTCTAGGTGGCAGCCAAATCAGCCTAACGTTCATTTCACTGACGGAATAGTTGACGGTGTTAAAGTATTTGACGGAAATGGCTAAATTAGTCCAATAAGTTTTAAAAATGTGGCTATAAGTGATATTTCTTCAAATTTGGCTATTATTGGCACAAACGCGAAAATTTTGGCTATACAAGTGTATTTTGCCTTATTTTTGTCAAAGATATTCCCACAAGGGAACAAACATTGTATATAAAAGTTAATGTTTGAAATTTAGTGTCATGTGTTTGGTTACATAACCATTTTCCAATCTTCATCATATTTATAGTCATCAGGTGTAACCGTTTGTAACTACTAGCTAGCCTGCTACTCCAATTGCCTCGGGATCCTCATTGTCGCTTTGATGACAGTTTATGTCAACTTGATGGTCCATCTTCGTCTCGATACATAGCTTGCATCTTCGACTTGTTATCCTCGTCTTGTTACCCATCTGAATGGGATGAGAACTTAACTTCTTTACCCACCAAGACTCCATACTTAGTCTTGGAGGGCTTGGTTCATCTTGTCAGCTTATCACTTATCTGATTTGCCAATTGCCACTAAGTCATCCTCGTCAACTTGCTAGTTGCAATAAAGTCCGTCTCATCAGCTTGATACCTTGTCGTCTCTCCAGCTTGATACCCCATGCTACCAAACCAGTCATGCCGACCCCTGTTACAAGCCAACTCTTTCGACTTCGTCTCCACACTTAGTTTTTTTATTATCATCAAGTTGGTACCTTACCGCTCTGCCGACTTGGTAATCTCTTAAGGGGCACCAATCTCGTCTTAGCAACTTAGTTAGTGTCCATATGGCCCCCAAAAGGACCCTACACCAAGTACTTATCAAGTTAGTCACCAAACCTGTATAATCAACTTGACACCTTGTCTCCTTGGCATCTGTTAGGAATATAGTTTCTAACACATTCTATCACTTGAGAGTCTTTTGTCGTTTTATGTTAGTTCGGGAGTTTATTTGTTATTTTTGGATATTTTACAGATATTTGGATGTTTTGGGGGAAGGGAGCAATAATTTGGGTAGTTAATTAGTCATAGGGAATTGTTTACATTATATAGCTTAGAATATATTAAAGGGGTTTGAGAAAAACACCCACTCCACGTCAGCCTTAAACGCCTCTCCTTAATTCTCGGTAGATTTTATTTTATTTTTTCCTTTTCTTTTTAATTGTTGGTTGGGCGCGCGCACTTCAATTTTTTACTTTTTTTCAATTAACTCTTAACCCGACCTTTAAGCATGCATACAAGATCCCAGTAAAAAAAAAAGCATGCATACATGATTTCATATAAAAAATTATTTCGTGAATTTTCCTTTCTAAATGAAAAGTGAACCCTTTCTCTGAAAGTTGGGTATACCGTTTTTTTTAAGGGAAAAATATCTTTTTTTTTAATCGGAGAGAAAAATATCCTATTTAATAAGTTTGTTTGTTAGTTTGGACTTAATCACCAGATTTTAAATGTTGTAGTAGTTATTTTAGAATGTGTTAGATACTTACTAAAAGTAACTAAAATATACATCATAGATTCCAGATGAATAACAAATGTCTGAATTTTGATAATAATTAAACTCCTAAATTATATTTTTTCATTGTAAAGATATTCTTGGGAGGCAATGTGTTTATATGCTCTTGAAATTCATTGTTTGTTCATTATATAAGATAATCAATAATCAGTTTTGTGTACTCATTGCTGTTAATCCAAAACATCAAAACAATTATTTTATATGATAACCATTTCAATATTATGGTGGGTAAATGTTTTATATTACCTACATTGAGACTTCATAAATCATGATTGCAACTGTTTTACATATTAGAGAAATGAATATACATGACTAACCCTGATAAATTATGAGAATTTTGAACATATGTCTACGAACGACAAAGTCGATAATCAATATTCCTAAATTAGTAGTTGATTATATTGACATTGAGATATGAAGTTATGATGTTAAAAACACAAAATATTTGATTGAGTATTGAGTGCCTGATTGAGAAACATTCATATACTAATATTGACATCACACATGAGACATCACAAATTATTTTTTTGAAGAATGTGTTATAACAATATCATCAATTATTAATAACCAAAATAATTTGAACATATACAAGTCAGCATAATTCATATATAATTAAATGAAATCCACCCGGCCGACGGGCCGGGTACAAAGCTAGCTCCTAGTAAACCGCCTTACTTTTGTATTTTTAATTGTGATATTGAATTTGTTATTATTTTTGTGATAAATAAATACATTAATAATAATTGTATAAAATTGTGGCAGTAGAGCATGACATAATATTTTATTTATCCAATTTTAACCCAAAAAGCTAACCTATTTAATTAAAAAAATTATAAAGGAAGACTAATAAAAGACGGAAAATAAGAATAATTATTTACTATAATCCCTTTCACAAAATGAAAAATAACATGTTAGATAAAAAGGGAAATCAACTAAAATAAAAATACCCCTTATTAATATCATTCAAAAACATATTCCCATTAAACCATAACTCAATTATGTCAAATAATCTCATAGAAATCAAGTTAAAAGAGACACCAAATTCGGTGACCAAAACCTTCAAATCAACTATCACAAAAACCTAAAAAAAGCTAAAAAATGTAAAAAATGAAATTTATATATTTTGAATCATTTGATCATATGTCTCAAGGGGACAATTATTTGAAATGATAAAATGTAATGAACCCGGCCATTCGGCCGGGCACAAAGCTAGTTTGTAGTTAGTAGGAGTTTGGGAACTAAGCAATTATGGATTAATTATCCCTAAACCTAATTGTCTCTCTCCCCTCTCCCCTCTCTCTCTCTAGTCGTCGACCACCTCCTCCCTAGATAGCAGATTTTCCTCTCTTTTTTCCCTAATTCCTTCCTCTTTCCTCTAGTCCAAATTCCCAATCTCAATTCCTTTTCTCGATTTCTCATAAATCCAGACGGTCAGAACCCTATACGGGTGCGGCTAGATCCATGGTTCTTTCAGTATCTTGCCAAGCCCGTCTTGTTAGTATGATCTCCTTAGCTTGGTATCTTGGCCGAACAACTCCCTCCCGAGATTGTATACGTAGTCTTGAGAATTTAGAGATTGTCCATGACTGTTTGGTACCCGATCGGGTGGCCACAAAATGTACATACTTTTTTGTGAGTGAATCCACAGAAGACTTTAGATATTAAGAGATTGATTTTCTTAATAATTCAATTAAATTATGTTCCTTGAGTTGCATGTTGTGTTCTATATTTATAAGAGTAAATGTCAAGTTTGGTCACTGGGTTTATTAAAATGTGTTATGTTTAGTCACAGAAAAAAATTAATATCAATTTTGGTCACTCGAATTAGTAAAATGGTACATGTTTAGTCACTCTTCGTTAACTTTATCTGATGTGATAGTCAACCCTAACAGACTAGTAACAGTTGACCGTTACATGTCTGACGTGATAATTAAAAAATTAATTTAGTTCTTTTAATATTTTCACATCATTAAATAATAATAAAATGGAATGAACCTCATTTCTTCCTGCTGCTGCAACCCCAGACTGTTCTCGCTTCTCACTTCGGAACCCAAAGCTTTGGTTTTATTTACTTATTATTTAATGATGTGGAAATATTAAAAAATTAAATTAATTTTAAACTAATTTTTTAGTTGCCATGTCAGACAATTAACGGTCAACTATTAGGGTTGACTGCCATTTCAGATAAAGTTAACGGAGAGTGACTAAATATATACCGTTTACTAATTCGAGTGACCAAAATTAATATTAATTTTTTTCAGTGACTAAACATGACACATTTTAGTAAACTCAGAGACCAAACTTGGCATATATCCATATTTATAATAAATAATGAAAACAAGTGTCCAGTGGGTGGGATTTCATCTTTGCTCATTTATTTAAGTGTCCAGTGGGTGGGATGCCTTCATTGCTTAAACAAATGACAATATAAAAATTATCTTAATAATTTAACACATGAAGAATATCAAATGAGTATTTTTCCTTATATTTATTACTCAGTACCATTCAAAATCGATAACTGAATGTCAACACATTTACAAGCAACCACATACAGTGGTATAAACAATGATAACAAAAAAAGATATGTGGGAATTGGCTTGTCATGTTTGGAATTGAGATGAATTATGAACAAACGAAGTCGTCTTCGATTCGAGATTCGAAATAAAATTTAATTATATTCGTTTTGATTCAGTTGATCCAAACGACGATGTGGCTATATTTGTTTCAATGTGAATTTTTGTGTCTGAAACCTCTGTTTTTTCCACAATCGGTGTTACATCCCAAAATAAATATGTTGTTGAGACATTTATGTTTGACAAAAATAAACCCAAAATAAATATACTATTGAGACATTTATGGTTGACAAAAATAACGCTTTTTATGTTTGGAGAAGTCTTACTAAAAAAGTGTTTGAATATAGAAGTATTTGTGGCAAACGACTCAAGATACAGTGCATAACTATGGGTTATGCATTCATGAGTAACTAAATTTGGACTCTTCATTCAGAAAATCCATATCTAAAGGTGGAGAATTAAAGGCATTTTTATTTTTCCTTATTTTCTTAATCGGCTCATATCTTATTCGTTTTAACTCGGATTTCAATTTTTTTGCACATATGGAACGAGTTCGTTGTGCTCACTAAATGAGATCCATTTTCAATATTTTTTGAAGAAAAAAAATTTCTTGACTCTCGTTACCAACTGCATACCATATGGTATCTTCTTCGTTTTAATTCGTTTTGAAAATTTTTGCATAGAAGGAACGAGTTCATCATGATCTACTGGAACTACAAATTTCTGGGTGAACAAAATACAAGACAAAAAAATACCACACAATACCACCCTTGTACGGGGTGGTATCTTGTGGTACACAATGTTGAAAGACGTAAATGACAGTTAGTATACTTCTACTATCATGTATTCAACCATCCAACAGTCTTGGTTTGTTCATACCACCATAGTACGCTTTTCATACCATAGGTATGCTCTTATTTCAATACCAGTCAATATCATATGGTATAGACAGGTAAAAAATGACTCAATTTTTTTGTTCCAAAAATATATGAAAGTGGATATAATTTTAAAAAGCACAATTAATCTGATCTAACTGCGCAAAAAAAATTAAATTTCAACTTAAAACGAGTGAGAAATCGTCCGTTAAAGATTAAGGATAAAAAAAATTAAAGGCTTTTGAGGAGAGAGAAGGGACGCTGATGTGGCGAATTTTGATTGGGTTATGCATAGTTATTGACCAGAAAGTTATTGACAGGATCCGCTCCCGTGACAAACTATCGGTAAATCCACTAAATTTGATGCGTCCAACATCAATTTGGAAATAACGACATAATGATTTAAGTACCATTATACGACACATTACTCAATATCTTTATGTCCATACAAACTATACTAGAAAAAATTTTGCTATTTGTCTTGTCGCCTATTAGGAAAATGCTAGCTACTTAGTTTGTGAACAAAAGAATTCAACGATGTGTCTATAGGTACATACCTTGTCAAATTTCATATGGAATCAGTCATTTACTGATATTGTATTATACAGAGGGATAAGTGTGTTTTACAAGTGTACCCAAAACCATCAAACAACATTTCATCATCATCATTTATCACCATCGATTTCAAGTTCATCCTCCATTGCACGTATGAGAAAGAATCTTCCTCTTCTCATACTCCGACAACCGCCCATACACACGAAACCTCCACTATTTTTCCTCCTTGTTGACACGTTTCTTCTCTTCTTCCATGTATGTCCTCAAGCTTAATGCGACAGCTACATCATTTTCATATTTGATAACAATTGTTGTATTTGCTAGACAATCAGCAACTGCGTCTTTGATCATCTCTTCATACAGATGAGCATCAGCATCACTATCATGAGTTTGTGAAAGTTGGAGAGCTTTTGCAAACACCTTCGATGCAACATATGATCTACATTTCTTCCCCATTTTTTGTCGTAGTGGAACTATTAGATCTCTTCCTACTCCTTAAATGAATTATAGAAGTATTTGTGGCAAAAACTATTGGTAAATCCACAAAATTTGATGCATTCAACATCAATTTGGAAATTACGTCATAACGTTGTACCATTTTACGACTTATTACTCACATATCTTTATGCCCCTACAAGCAACACTACAAAAACCTTGGCCATTTTGCTTGTCGCCTATTAGGAAAATGCTAGTTACTTAGCTGGTGAACAAAAGAGCTCAACGATGTGTTTGTGGGTACATACATTGCCAAATCTCATATGGAATCCGTCATTTAGTAATGTATGTATAATTGACATCATGTGAGATTTTAGGTTTAGAAGAAGGAAAAGAAGGGGACGCAAAGAGATAGAGGAAGAAGACGAAGTGAAGATTCAAAGCTTTTGTGTAATGTCTTTTCTATCTCTACCAAACAACAAAATGGGCTCTAGAAAAAAAAAACCCAAATAAAACAACTAACACAAATAACCAAATAATGGGCTTGTGAAATAAACTAGCAGCAGCCTTCCACTTAATGGGCCACACGAATTCAATTCCTTAGAATTGATCCACGTCCCAGAACCAGTACCCAGGGGCGAAGCTACTTGGAAGGTAGCCCCCCCCCCCGATTAGTCCGGGCCCCTAGGACCTTAAGGATATTTTGATAAAATTTGAATAAGTAGGACTCCGCCAGAATATTAGTTCATATAATTATCATTTATTCTACTGGTAGCTAATTTGATTTTTAGTCTGGAGCACCCAGGTTCAATTCACCACTACCCCTCACATTTTGCTTTATTTTGAGTGATTTAAATGATTTTTAGACTATATTGAAAGAAAGGTAGCAAAATATTTAGTTTAGATGCTATTTTGATTGATTTTTCAATGATTTCAAAGAACATTGTATACTTTTAAAATAATTATTTTATGTTTATTTACATTTAATTATTTTTGGCTTACTTGGTGTAGAAATCCTGGCTCTGCCCCTGCCAGTACTCACTGATTCTAGGAGACTCTTTTTATCTTTTTCTCTATCAAACAAACCGAACATGAAACCTATAGAGAGACTCGATGAAAGAACATAACGGAAGAAAGAAATCACGGATCCCAAAATCAGACCCGTTACAACCTCAATCAATCAGAACATGTACCCCTGATTGATGAACCCTTTTGTAAACCCCAAAGCTCTCTTCCACTTTGAATACAAAAGTTACAAAACCATTACAAGCTACAAGATTTATATAGAGCTCTTCAAAAACTAGTAGTTGGAGACATAAGGGGAGCCTTTCCTTTTCTGCTTCTTAAGATATGATACTTGCCTTCTGAGTGCCTAATTTGCGATCTCTGATTTTCCTCCCAACAATCTCCCCCTAAATCAGAGATTGAAATTTGATATCTATCTATACGCAAGAACATATGTCTTTCTCAACACTAAATTGAAAAGAAGGAGTACTACAACCTGTAAACCGCATTCCAGAAATAATTCTTAATCACCAAGGAGAAAAATCTAAACAATTCGCTAGATTAAACCTAAGTGACAAAAATGTAAGTAATCCAACCAATCAAGTATCATCCAACCAATCGAAAGAGCTATAGCATACTAGCAGCATGATAGGAAAGAAGAAAGGACAAACATTTTAAATCCAACAAATTATGCATAATTCCCTCGCAACTACTAGTGATGCAGCAAACTTAAAAGTTAAAACAGTTAAAACAAAAAGTGTACATCCCCCCTCAATTTACAATCTGCATTCATAAACATGTATACCCAGCAAAATTATCTAAGAGCACACAACCATATTGTCATGACTTAGCAAAGAACTTGAACTTACCAATGACTCCAACACAATAAAAAAAGGACCAAATAACGGGCTTGTGAAATAAACTAGCAGCAGCCTTCCACCTAATGGCCCACACGAATTCAATTCCTTAGAATTGATTTCGGCTACAGAGACAGTAACTCTGTGTTTATCTATTGCTAACCCAGAAAAGTAGAGTAATGAACAGGGTTGAAGATGCAAAAAATAAAGAAGAACAAAAGAATTTTTAACGTGGTTCACCAACAAGGGTTACTCCACGTTCGAGAACCAATACCCACTGATTCTAGGAGACTCTTTTTTATTTTTTTCTCTATCAAACAAACCGAAAACAAAAGATATAGAGAGACTCGATGAAAGAACATAATAGAAAAAAGAAATCCCGGATCCCCAAACCAGACCTGTTACAACCTCAATCAATCAGAACCTGTACTCCTGATTGATGAACCCTTTTGTAAACCCCAAAACCCTCTTCCACTTTGAATACAAAAGTTACAGTACCATTACAAGCTACAAGGTTTATATACAGCTCTTCAAAAAATAGTCATTGGAGACATAAGAGAGGCTTTCCTTTTATGCTTCTTGAGATATGATACTTGCCTTTTGAGTGCCTAATTTGCGGTCTCTGATTTTTCACCCAACAGTATGATCTAGAGGGATAAGTATGCTTTACATGTGTACTCATAAACCATCAAACAACATCTCATTATCATCATCATTTATCACCATCGATTTCAAGTCCATGCATCCTTCCTTGTAAGAGAAAGAATTGTCCTCTTCTCATACTCCGACAGCCGCCCATACACACGAAACCTCCGCTAATTTTCCTCCTTGTCGACACGTTTCCTCTCTTCTTCCATGTAAATCCTCATGCTTAATGCGACATGTACATCTTTTTCAGATTTGATAACAATTGTTGTGTTTGCTAGACAACCAATAGCCATCACCATCACCATCATGAGTCTGTGAAAGTTGGAAATTTGACGAGTTCTCGCTGAGAGACGATGGAGAGCATTTTCGCTGGAGAAATAAGAGAGCAAAGTCGCCAGAGAAAAGAAGATCAAAGCGCATTGTCGAAGAAGAAGAAGACCCAATCATCGGAGGTAAATTTCTGAATTTCGTACGACGGTTTGACCAGCCGTCGACGACAATGATGTCTGGGCATGTCTCTAGCTCTTTCCTAAATTTTCACTTTGCCCCCAATGGTAGCTATTCATGATAAAAATAATGTATGTACCCCCTCCCTTGTTGACATGTTTCCTCTCTTCTTCCATGTAGTTCCATCCTTTTCAAATTTGATACCCTCACCGTTGGCATGTCTCTAGCTATTTCCTAATTTCGATCACTTTGCCCCCAATGCTAGCATGTCATGATAAAAATAGTGTATCTACCATTCCCCCCCCCCCTCCTCTTGTTGACATGTTTCCTCTCTTCTTCCATGTAAATCCTCAAACTTAATGCGACAACTACATCTTTTTCATATTTGATAACAACTGTTGTGTTTGCTAGACAACCAGCAGTCGCGTCTTTGACCATCTCTTCATAGAAATCAACACCATTATCACCATCATGAATATGTGAAAGTTGGAGGGTTTTGCAAGCCCCTCTAATGAAACATATGATCTACATTTCTTTCTCATTTTCTATCATGATTGAACTGTTAAGATCTATTCCTACTCCATAAATGAACTGTTCAATTCCTATTAATGCATTCTTGCTACTCACTAGAGATCAATGAGCAAATAATTACCTAATAAATCTTCAGCAAGAAATGATTTGTGCGCTATAGTGATAGAGGAAAATAGACAAATACCTAATAGACAAGGTTAAAAGTCAATCCCTCAGGTGTCAGAAGAGAAAATAAACCAATAAAAGGAAAGACACAACAAGCTGAAATGTATCAACGAAAGATACTAACATGAGAGTAAGAAGAAGTACTCGTCGTCGCTCTTCCCCGTTGACGAAGCAAATCGTTGAGCAACTGGTAGAGGATATTCGAAGCGAATGACTCAGCCAAATGAAGAGAGGTGAACGAGGCAAAATAAGAGGTCGTTTGCTTGTAAGATTTTGATGATGGATTTTGCCTCAAAATCCCACATATGGTGGATTATGTGGGGGCCATAGATGTGAGATTATTTTTGGCTCAAAATCCGTGGACCCCACGGATTATAAAATCTCACCTTATGAGCTAAAATTTTGGGAGAAGCAAAAATCCATGGACCCCACTAATGATGAAATGACCAAAGTATCCTTAACTAAAAAATAAAAATACTTTATTAATGATATGAATAAGGATATGATGGTAAATTCATCATGTAACCCAAAAATCCATTATACTATAATCCATTTTGAAATCCAACAAGCAAACATGCAATTTCTAAAATCCAACACAAATCCAAAATAATAAAAAATCCAATATAATCATTTACTCTCAAAATCCAAGGTTTTACCCAAATCCCTCTTTTTATAAAATTCAACAAGCAAACGACCCCTAAGGCCTGCAACGGATGGAGAAACAGAGTAAGAAGAATGGTTACCGGTGAGAAAAAAAGAAAGAACTAGTCGTCATGATAAAAAATAGTGTATCTACCCCCCCCCCCCCCCCCCCCCCCCCCAGGCGCGTGCAATTGTTTAGCCAAGCTTCGAAAATAGAGTGAGCCGATTCAACCCTGTTTGTACTTTGTGTTACCAATATGAAAAATATTGTTAGTGTAATTATGCTCCAAACACTCATGATGCAAGTATTCTATCAACCTATTATTCCATTCCTCCCCCAATATACATTTTTGAAAATTTCCCATTCCTCAACCATAATAAGTGGCGTGGTGGCTTCCATCACTTTCTTCCAAGAACCATTTACCACTCCTCGAGCAACTTTTTGTGGCATCCCCAAATTCATCATCTTAGCTTCAATGTTTTACTTTATGTGCAATATACACAAGTGAGACAATTTCTTGAAGACCTGAGGGATAACGGCAACCAAATCCTCCCTCCTTATCGGTTAGAATTGCATTCGGTATGCAATCTCCAAGCATGTTCTGTAGCTCCCTCAAAAGCCAAACATAAGAATATGTGGTTTCCCCCTCCATCATAGCAAATTCAATGTTGAAGTTCCTCTTTACGAGGGTAAAATCATAACCTCAACCAGGGGCCTCTTATATT